TCTACATGACCCGATGGATAATATTGCTCATTGATTGTCATTGCTCGTTTACAGAAATCGAGTGCTTCATCATATTTTCCTTGTTCATATAAGATGATACCGATAGATCGCAGATTTAGAGCAATATCAACATGACCCAATGGATAGCATTTTTCAAGAATTGTTAAAGCACGTTGATAACAATCGAGTGCTAGATAATATTGCCTTTGATGAATATGTATGAGACCAATACGATTTAGACACTCTGCAATTTTCTCATGACAAGAGGAATAATTTTCTTCTCGAATTGTCAATACTCGTCGTTGAAACTTCATAGCTTCTTCGTATTTTCTTTGATCTCTTAGGACATTGACGATGTCTATTAGAATATTAGCAATACTAACATGATTTGTTGCATGGAATTTCTCTTGGACACTTAATGCTCGTTGATAGAAATCAAGAGCTTCATCATATTTTCTTTGTTCATAAAGGGCTTTTCCAATATTGCTAAGAACAGTAGCAATGCCAGTATAACCAAGTGAATAGAATTTTTCTCGAATACTTAATGATCGTTGATAGAAATCAATGGCTTCGTCATATTTCTCTTGACTATATAGGACATTACCGATACGATTCATGCTCTGTGCAATTTCGAGATGAGGAAATTCATAATATTTTTCTTGAATAGCCATGGCTTTTTGATGAAATTGAAGAGTTTCATCATACTTCTTTTGTTCATATAGAGTGTTACCAATGGAGGTGAAAGTATGAGAAATTTCGATGTGATTATCAGGATAGAAGTTCTCTTGTATTGAAAGTGCTCGCCGATAATAGTCAATAGCTGCATCATACTTGCTTTCATCGTAGAGAACATGACCAATACGATTGATGGTATTTGCTATGATGATACTGTCTGATGAATAATATTTCTCTTGAATTTCTATTGCTTTTTGATGATATTTAATTGCTTCATCGAATTTTTGTTGATGACGCAATGTTGCACCAATATTATTGAGAATTGTTGCAATGTCCACATGACGATTTGGATAATAATTCTCTTGAACTTCGAGTACACGTTGATAAAATTTGAAGGCTTCATCGTATTTTTTCTGTTCACGGAGAACATTACCAATGTAAGTGAGACTCTTGGCAATCTCTCTCTGACATGAAAGACAATATTTTTCTTGTATTTCAAGTACTCGTCGATGATAATCAAGAGCTTCATCATACTTTTCTTGTGTGCATAATATAATTCCGATATTGTTCATATAAAAAGTAATAGAAGAATAATCATATGAAGTGTGTTTTTCGACAGTTGCTAGTGCTCGTTGATGAAAATCAATAGCTTCATTGTACTTTTCTTGTTTATATAAGATATTACCAATATTGCCGAGGCTAGATGCCATTACGACATGACCCAAAGGATAATAGTTTTCTTGCAACGTTAGTGCTCGTTTACAAGAGCATAGAGCTTCATCATATTTTGATTGACAAAGTAGTACATCACAGATATAATTGAGAGTGTTAGCAATATTTCCATAATAATATGGATAATATTTCTCTTGAAGTGCTAATGCTTGTTGATGAAAATCAAGAGCTTCATTATATTTTCCTAGTTCTTTTTGTACATAGCCAATATTGTTTAGAATACAAATAATTTCGTTATGACCAGAGAAATAATATTTCTGTAGAATTTTCAGCGCTTGTTCATAAAATATCACAGCTTTAGAATATTTTCCTTGTCCATAGTGAACATTTCCTATTTCATTAAGAGTAACAGCAATATTGACATGACCAGATGTATAATACATTTGTAGCATTGATAATTCTTGTTCAAAAATCATTAGAGCTTCATCATGTTTGCCTTCGAGATAGAGAATCTGACCGATGTTGTTGAGACACCAAGTAATGTATACATGACCATTTGGATAATATCTTTTATAGATTGACATAGCTCGTTGACAATAATCGAAAGGTTTATCGTAGTTGTTTTGATATATACTATTGCCAATATTCTAATTTTTCTGTAAAACTAGAACATTTTTTGCTTGTTTTCAGTTGGTGTGCAGAGAGAAACAAAAACCTTAACCACTAACATAAAATCAAAAAGCTGCGACCATTTAAAAGCATTTTTCGATGAATCTTTCAAAAGCATAATGAATTTGTTTGAAATCATTTAGCACGATATTACACTAGCTGAATGTTTTGACATACCATTTTTCAATCTTGTACAAAAGTGAATTTAAAAAACTACTAAAAACAAATTGATCAAAATGAATTAACTTGTGTTCGATTGAATTATCACTTCAACAGTATTCTCAATTACCATGTGGAACTACCCAGTTTAGAAATTCTAAAATCTGTCTCAAAGTTTCGTTCCATATTTTTTTTATCTTTTTGCTAAAAGTTCTGTTATCCATGATATACTAAGTCTAAAAGAATGGCGGCGTTATTTATGAATTTCGGATTGAATATATGATTGTTAGCTTTGAATATGAAGATAGAATAAACGAAAATGAAAATACCATTTGGATTATATTTATAAAGTTCGTATAGAATTGATTTCGGAGCTTAAAAACAATTAATATCATTTGTCGCTTCGAGCTTCTATGTAAAGCAATAATAAACATTAATTTCTTAATAAAATAAAAACATCTGAACTAAAAGACACTAAGTTCGTATCTTCACGAGGCATATTGTCTCAAAATTTTTCTTTACAGTTTGTTTCAGAAGTTGTTTTTAAACTCAAGACCAAATTATTTCGTAAAATAAAACAAAACTTCAAATAATAAGTCGATACAATAAGTTCGAATTCGGTGTTTAAATGCCATAAATTCTATAAGTCAGACGAGTTGTTTTTTAGTTTTTTTTAAATTACCCTACTGTGCTCATGTTCTCTCTTAGGTATTCTACTATCATTCTTTCAATATTGGAAAAAAATCCAAACTAAATTCTGGCATAAAACAAAAATAATGTAGAAATGATTGAAATGATTAAATATTTAAACTCTTTTCTTTTGAAAAAAAAGTAAACTGATACAATAATGCAAACGAACTTCGTTCTACATAACAATATAAACTTTTAAGGGATTCGAAAGATATTCAAAAACCTGAGTCTTTTCAATAAAGTAAATGCTTTAATTATTTCAGTCAAATAAGGTCAACTGATAACTAAGATTGTAAAAAATAAGAGAAATGGATCATCTTAGTTTGTGAAACAGTGTTGTCGGATCCGATCAAGAAAAAAAAAGTTGAATTTCGTTCATTTCTCATTTTTAACAGAAAAATGAATATCAACGAGTCATATAACTTGCTCAATATTCTGTTAGTGACATTTCGAATTCAACCTGAATGAAAATGGAAAAGGAAAAAATAAGGTATAATATGGAATATGATCTGATTGGTTTAAAAACAGAAGGATAAGTTACATTCATTTTTGTATGTATGTAGCGTGTATATATAGCTTATCTTAACCTAAAAAAAGAAAAGACTCTATGTTTCAATTGATTGGTTTAACTAAAAGGCGTTTTATTTATTTTTGCGTTCTTTCTATATAGAATAAGATGAGAGATAGAAGAGGTTTTATGCCTGGTAACTAATTCAATATTGTATTGAATAATGGCGATTTTGTAATAGAGAATAAATTTATCTTATATATATATAAATTGAATAAAAATGTTTGATACAGATAAATATTTAAAAGAACATCCATTATTATCAAAACTTGTTGGTGAAAATAAAATCTTATTTGAATGTAGTGCAATAGCACCTTCACCATCAAAAGATTATGGTCGAATTGAAATTAATTTTGATCAAGTAAATTATTTTAATAAATATTTATTTCAAAATCTATTCATTGTTTTTTTCTTATTTCTTAAAGGTAATTGTTCAATGGTGGAAAATAACTCTTCGAAATATCGAAGGTTCAATATATCCATCTGAAATAAGAAATTCTTATAAAGATTTTTCTGATGATGAAATCGCTCAACGTGAAATAATTCGAATATTTGGTAAAAAAACTCTTGATTATTGTTTAAATTTAATCAATGGTAATATCGATTGGTTTAAATATTTACCATTAAATATTCAAATAAATATATTTTCATTTGTTAATATAAATGATATTCCAAATCTATCTCAAGTATCAAAATTATTTCGTTCAATATCTCGTCATAATGAACTTTGGAAAATCCTTTATATACGTCAACATGGTTATCGACTTTTAAATAATCATTTTTTTATGCATTTAGTTCAAATACATGGTTGGCGTCGACTTTTTTTTACTAATAGATTAAAATTACAAATGGAATTACGTAGACAAGCTTTACCAATTATTTATCATCAACAATATTCAACAGATTTTGACAATGCACAACAATATACAAAACAATTTAAAACAACTTCATCAACGATACTAACAGAACAAGAAGAAGAACGATAATAATCTTCAGGTCAAGATGATTTATTTAAAATAATAAAAAGGAATTTGTCATTGATCGTTATTATTAACTATTAATTGAGAATAATCAAATATAGATAAAACAATATATTGATAAAGGCTATATTGACTATATTTATTTAAAATATCACCTTCTATCAAATCTTACATCAACATAATCAAATCGTCGTTTACTTTTTGCTTTTTGTTTTTCTTATATGTCAATAGAAATATTTTATTTCTATTTAACTTGTGTAAATAACAATTTTTTATCATTAATTAAATTGACTACACAATTTATATATTTGACATTGAACATTTAAAAACAAAATAAAGATTTTCATTGATTTCGTGAATTTCTATGCATAATAAATATATTTACTTGAAATATTTTTTTGAAACTTTTCACATAAATAATAAAGGAATTTCGTCATTGAAATAATTGACTTGTTTTATTTATATTTTATTTAATTGATATAAAATTTTTTTTAATCAAGAATAATTCAAATAAAACGAAATCTTAATTATATATATCAATAATAAATATCGAAATATGTCCAGGAAATATAATTTAAAAAAAAAAACACATCATTTCTAATATACATCATTATTGAATTTTTTTCTTAGATATTTTACCTTTAGATTTCGATTAAATATTAGATTTACCAATTCAAATTGATTCTCATTTTAAAAGTTTGTTCTTTATTAATAAATGGTCATGTTTTATTTTATTCCGAATATATTATCGTTATATTTCAAATTTATTTTTATTTAAACAACGGGAGACGTTTTCCCTTGATATTAGCCCCTATAGAAAATATAAACAGTTTCACATGAAACTTTCACCAATTGTAGGACCCAGAGTCAGTACTCACTCCTATAAATTTCACCTTGATCGATCAAGCTTTTCCCTTACTTTGATACTCACCCATATAGACTCTTTTGACTCTTCTATGAGTCAAAGAATCATTCATTTTAGATCGTCTATATACATATTTTGACAGACGATTTACATACCATTCGATAGAGAATTTAATTTTAAGCAAAGATTGTATAGATACATTCGAGTAAAAACTAAAGATTGACTAGAAAAAATTTCTAATTCTTTTAATATGTGCTCATATACAGACTTTGCTAGAACTTTGTGTACCTCCGATCTTCACGATATGATTCAGAATCGGAGCCATTTTTTCAATATTAATACTAATCATTAAGAACTACAAAAGTACTCGAATAAGTAGCTGCAAAGGGTATGGGTGTGTATGGTTATGGCTGTCGATGTGTGAGTGCGAGTATGAGCGTGCGAGAAGAGAAGAGCCACACCCACACCCGCATATATCAGGAAAAAAGATAATTACAGGTTACGTGAAAGAGGAGAATGGAAAGAAATGAACAAAGGACTCTTCACTTAAAAGTTGGCGGCGACATAGTATCATCTGTCGACGCTAACATTGACTCTTATTATAATTAGTATAAAAGTAATTATTTTTCTTTGTTTTTCTCATTCTCTCTATGAAACGGCAATGTTCACGCATGTTTTTTATTTATTGATAGATATTACGCAAACAATTTCTTATCTACTTACACTACACTCCCTCTTCTATTATCAGTCATCGAAAGCAGAACTTTGAAACATTCTGTGTCATATAATCAGTTTGATTGATGAGTAGATTCCAAAGATACATCATTAGTATCTGTGACCTTTCTAGAATAAAAGTTTACCTTGAACCGTACTTCCCCAGACAATATACACAATACAGTTGTTTTGCAGCTGCTTATTCGAGCACTTTTGTAGTTCTTAATGATTAATATTGATATCAAAAAAATAGCTCCGGTTCTGAATGATATCGTGAAGATCGAAGGTACACAAAGTTCAAGCAAAGCCTCTATATGAGCACATATTAAGAATATTTGAAATTTTTTCTAGTCAATCTTTGGTTTTTACTCGAATGTATCTATACAATTTTTGTTCAAAATTAAATTCTCTATTGAATGATATGTAAATCATCTGTCAAAGTATGTATATTCACTATCTAAAATGAATAATTCTTTGATTCATAGAAGACCCAATAGAGTCTATATGGATGAGTATCAAAGTATGGAAAAAACTTGATCGATCAAGCTGAAATTTATAGAATTGAGTACTAACTCTGAGCCCTACAATTGGTGAAATTTGTATATGAAACTGGTTATGTTTTCTATAAGGAGCAATATCAAGGGAAAATGTTCCCCGTCCTTTATAAAAAAAAAACGACTAATGTTAATATATTGAGTTTATTATTATTTTATATAAATACATGAATTCTATGAAAGACTTAAAATAGTTGTTGGTATTCTTAATAAATAATAATAATTTTGTTAATTAATATAAGTAATGAGTAGAATCTGAATAAAATCCTCGGATAAATATAAATATTATTTGTTGAAGTGTTTCGTTCCATGATTTATCTTCGTTGAATTGAGCAAGCGATGATTCGAAATATTCGAATTGACTATTAATGAAACTTCAGTATTTAGAAAGTTTTTTCATTGTTCCTTTAATGAGAAAGTTTTCAGAGAAAAAAAATTGACTAAAATCTTTCTGATTGAATCTATTTATTGTTTTTTGTTTATTAATATTATTTTTATGAATTGAAATCGAAAAGAGAATTGTTATTAATAAATGTCAATATAATATTGGAGTGACAAACCAGTATGATAGTTCGTTTTGATACAGTTCTATTCTAAGAATAAAAGAGATTATTGTCCGTCTCATATATGAGAGGATCCTAGATAACTCTGGATTGGCCCGAACAACATCATCTTTTACCCTTAGAATAGTGGAGAAAGAGCTGATAATAGTATGTTTTATTCTTAGAATAGAACTCTATCAAAACGAACTATTATAATGACTTGTCACTCCGATATATTTAATTGATATTACTCAATATATAAGGGCTTATCTTTTGTTTTTATAAAATATCTCGAGTAAGAATACTTGAATAAAATTAAAAAAATCTTATTTCGAGAAATAAAATAATTTTTTTTTCTTTTTCTATAGATCAATTAAATAATATTAAATCTGACTATTTCAATACATGAATATCAGTCTTCTCTTTTGCTTTATGATCAACAACTTCCGAGTCGAATCTCACCAAATTTTCCTTTTTTTTTTTACTTGATTATTTAGAAAACTAAAGATTTGTTATTAGTGTTTACGTTCACAATAAAATTGATCGATGCGTTTAAAAAATTGTTGATTCCACTCCCCTCCGTTCTCTCCGTGACAATGTCGTCGGTGCCTTGGGAAGACGTCTGTTGATTACCTAACATATAAAATGTGAAATATAGAATAGAATTTGAATAGAAAATGAAAAAGAAAAATGTTTGTAAAAGAATGATGATTATCTATTGTTATGTTGTCGTGATGAAATGTGTTAAGAAATAAATTAACCAAAAAAATGCTGAAAACAATACTCATCAACCATAGTCGATTGTTGAATTAGCTTAAAAAAGAGTCAATAGATTTAAAAAAGTCTAAAAACAAAAAACCTCTTCTCTCATCTCAAACAAATGTCAACAGTTACAAATTTTCATTAGTTTTTTTTCTTCTAGACCTCTAAATGTACGTTCGCATATATATATATATCTGAAGATTCTCTTATTAATAATTGGATATGTGTCGAAAGGGCAGAGCTAAGAAAACAACTCGATTACTAGAAAAGGTTTTTTCTTTCTTTTTTCTTTTTCTGTAAGAAAAGTAGTATCACAGTCAACTTACATCATTGTCACGTATCTCCTTTGTGGTAAGGCATATCTTGTTCTTCTATTCGCATTATTTCTGCTACTGATAATATGATAAGAATATGAGGTTAACAAAGACGTGGAGATATTTTTGTTTGAAACTATGGACTATAAACGAGCTAATATAGATAGATATTCACCATATTTATTCTACAATTGATTGTTTTTATCATCATTACTCTTTTATATAAAGTTTTATTTAGTTAATGTACTTTTTTTGTTTCTTTTAATATTTAATTTATATTAATTATTTATTTTGGAACAAAGAGAAAAATTTGAGTTAATTAAATAAAATAAAAAAATATTTAAAAATATTTAGATAAATAGGTATGTCCAGTAAAAAAGGTGTAAAAGGTATTGAAGTGTATACATCTCAACCATGGGAATTGGTAAAGACAACATTTCTAGTATTTACATGGATTATATTGGTTTGTTTTATTTTAAAAAAACTTCTATTGATATATATGATTTTATTTCTAGGGTATTCATTTGGAATTAGTTGGTCCAACAATAAATATATTGGCTCGACAAACTCAAGTTGCATATGCTGGAATAAGTACTATATTAATAACACGTAGTGCTGGTTACATGACTGGAAATATAGTTGGAGCAATAACACAAAATATTGTTAAACAATATCCAGAAGGTTTATTATCATTTGCATTTTTGATTGCAGCTATTGGTCAGTTTAGATTGATATTTTCACTTTTTTATTTTTATTTTATTAAAAATGAGATTTTTTTCGTTTTTTTTTTGTTTTAGCTGTTCTTGCAACACCAGCTATTTATAATTTATATATACTTTCAATAGTTTTTTTCTTTCAAGGAATTTCTCAAGGAGTATCAGATCTTGGTTTGTTTTTAATAACAATTCTTTTTATAAATAAAATATAATTCTAGGTGGAACAAGTTTAATGTTAACAATGTGGGGTGATAATGTTGCTGCACCACTTAATATTGTTCATTTAGGTTATGGTTTTGGTGCTGTTTTTGCTAATTTATTTGTTCTACCATTTCTTGGTGAAGATATTAAAAAAAATTTACCATCAAATAGTTCAAAAGTTTTCATAGAAAAAGAAAATAGTTCAAAAGTTTTCATAGAAAAAGATGAATCAAATATTCTAGTACCATATTCAATAACAGCATTTCTTTGTTTAATAATAGCAATTGGTCATTTAATATTTTCAATACGTGAACATAGAATTCGACGTGAAGCTCTTAAAAATCGTCCAATAGATTATGTATCAGTATCAACATCAGCTATTAATGAAATAAAAGAGAATAAAGTTAAAAATGTATCTCCATATTCTCCACGATCATGTGGAAATGGTTATTTTGCTTATGGTTTATTAATGTCAATTTTTTGGATTTTTTATATGTTTTTTCTTAGTGGAAATGATCAAACATTTGGAAAATTTTTTTTTGCATTTCTTAAAACATCAGGATTTTCAATTTCAACATCAGGTGCTCTTTGGGCAATGGTTATTTATTGGCTTTCATATTCGGTTTTGATTTATATTATTTGAAATTATTTTAAAAACTAATCATTATTTTATTTTAAATTTAATTCTAGGTTGGTCGTTTAGTATGTGCAGTAATAACTGTGTTTGTACCAGTTCATAAAGCTTTAGCTGGTCTATGGATTTGCGGATTGATTTTAGCAATAACATGGTTTATATATGTATGGATAATTGGTTTAACAAGCACAAATCTTCTTGTTCTTGGAGCATTTACTGGCTTTGTTTTTTCTCCAACATTTCCATTATCATTTGCATTTATAAATCAACGATTAAATGTCAATCCATTACTTGTAGGTCTTCTTTTATGTGGTGCAGCATTTGGTGCTATGACATTTCAAAAAATAGCTGGTAAGTTGTTTTTCCTGGTTTTACTTGATGAAAAAGAAAAGAAATTTTTTAAAAATGTCAATTAAAGGTGTTGTATTGGATGGTAATCCAAAACAGTTTCCATTATTATTAATAGCATGTGTTATATTAGCAATAATACTTTTTGTTATCGCATTAGTAATTAGTTCAATTCATCAAAGAAAATTAAATTCAAATAAAAGTTCTCTTCCAACATCTGATAATAAAAATCTTTCAAAAAAAAGTGAAGAAGAACAACAAATGGAAGTATATTTAACAAAGGACGAACAAGATAAAAATTAATTTCAATTTATTAGACATTATTTGAACATTATTCTATAATAGATCATATTAAATCAAATATTAAATTTGTTTATCCTTACTTTATTAAATAAATAAAACTAAAAAGTTCTACCTTAGATAAATAATTCTACTAGATATATTACATTTCAAATTTTTTTATTCAATTTAAATATTCTTATTCATAATCTCATATAATACAATTCTATATTTAATAGATTATCTCGGCATATCTTTTTTTTTTATATAAGATCAGCTTTTTTTGCTATTGACTATATTTCAATATATACTAATTTATTAAATTTTCATTTGCATCATGAGTCAAACCATTTAAAAATCTTTCGTTTTTTAAATCGGTCATATTAGGAATTTGACAGTTGAAGTTTAACTGCTCGACATAGGATACCCTACTTCTTCTTGTTTCAACTTTCGTCATCACTGAGCACAAACGCATTTGAATCTTCATAATTATGCTCGTTTCGAACATTTGGAATTGCTTTGACATAACATTTTTTTCATATAATGACAGTTGAGTAGAATTTCTTCGGTTTCTATCAATGGAATCTAAAACTACTTAGAGATTCTGAAAGATGTCAAACGAAATTCAAAATGAGTAAGAAGAGAAGTTGAGGTATATCTCTTGGTAACTCTATATATGATTGCCGTTTCCATGAAGGAAACCGTCAAGTGACATTCCTAACTGTAAAAACCTCTTTTATGAGTTTATTATTTTCGAATTAATTTTCAAATGTTCAATTTATAGATAGATTTTAAGACCTATCAATTGTCAAATTAATATTATTTAAACTATCATATACTTAATATAAAACCGAAATTCAAACAGAAAAAAATCGAGTTTTTCACTTGTAACATGTCCAAAAGTTTTTTTGTTTTTATGTCAATCGAAGATATCCGACTATTAAATGATTACTTTCATTACGATAATTACTTCTATTATAGGTTTATTATAGATATGGCTAATGGCTTATTTAAGAATATGATTTCTTGGTCAACAAGATTAATGATTAATCGATTGGTGATAGAATATTTCCGATTACGATAATATTCTCTTAGAATATAAAGTATTATAAATAATAAAAAAATCTGTATGTTCTTTTGTTTTCTTATGAAGAATCGATGTTAATTTTCATTTCTAATATATATATAATGAAAATCGTAAAAACGATATTTACTCGTTATGTTACCTTGACGAATATACCTATATAAGAGTACAGTAAAAAAATTAAAAATACTCTATAAAAAAAAAAACTTTGCGAAATGAAAGGATCTCGCCGGATAAGATCGAAAATCTGCCACCTCCTATATCTCATCTTTAATAGATTAGAAAGATAGAGCATGAAAATCTGCATACATCTATGCATTTATTTGGTTTCAAGTACGACTTAAAACAACATTTTCTAAGACTAAATAACTGTGGGAGGAGGGAGGCACGCGATTATTGGGTCTTCTGAAAAGTGACTATGATAAGCATGACGTTATCCTTTGTAAAGCTAATATAAAAACTAATGGTGTAGATCAACACATATTTGTGTGCTCTATAAAATGACATAGTGATCATATTTGTGAATAGCGTCGTTCTTGGATTCTCTAGAGTATCCAGGCCCGATGGATACGATTCAGATACTTTATTGGTGACTCTTGTAGTTTCATGTTGTCTTTAAAAATCAAAGTAGACAGAAAATTATCTGCGATTAAAAACTGCTTCAACTGAAGCTCTTTTGATTTATATAGTTTTCGGAAAAATCCAAATAGCCCCATGATTCATTTCAGTGGATATATTTTAAGGAAATACTATTTTCAGACTATTTTGATGTAAATATAGCCCTTGAATCTTAACTTCATTTCGACTTCACAGTAAAACGAAGATCATTTTCGGAATCAGCACAAAAAA